ATATTTTATATTTCTTTATTAGCATAGCTGATAATGCATTTTTAATATATTTTATATATTTTTAAATCACATAATATATAGTTTTATTAGATAGATCATTGCTATATATATATAATAATTGTAACATATCGTATATATCTATTTCTGTCTGATGCATATCATATCATTTAATGGTATTTATATGATAGTTCAAATAAATCTTTAGGATATTATACAAATATAATAAAATTGTTAAAAATCTGACATTATCATGATTTATATCTTATTTATACCTGATATTTCAATAAATTTTAAAATTTTTAGTTATAAATCGAACATAAATCAAGTAAATGTTAGAAACTTATCAATTAAAAATTATAAATCCGATTCTTCACCAATAAACATTTGATATTCATAAAGTATTTGTAACTGGTTGTAGCCAGAAATGCTATAAGACTCTGCGTCCAATTAGAATTGAGTATCAGAACAATGGAATAGCAGAATCAGTGAAGAATCGGTAAAAAATCAGATATCTGATTTTTTACCAATACTCCATTATTCGTTCTGTGTAATACAATATAATCATAATTTGGAGGATTATACTGATCTGCAAAATCATACTATACTGATTAGCTGAATTGTATTATACCGCTTTTTTTTCTCCTTAGAATATTAACCATAGATGTGAAGAATTTGAGACAGTTTTACTGCATTATATTAATGTTTCTTAACTCTTTAATTATTCTTAGTATTGGTTAATGGTAAATAAGAAGGAATCAATATTCAATTCAATATCTTTATATATTTTTCTAATGTTAAGATTTTGGGAAAGAAGTGATAACTTTAATATTAAGAATTTTTTTATTAACTTTATATGTTCAATAGTGAAAGCCAAAATGCTTATCAAAATATTTATATTTTCACAAGGTTATAAAATTAAGATTTGATAAAGGCTTTAAAATAATCATCATTGTTGGTATGTATAAAGTCACATTTTTTTTATCTCTTAGATAAGTTACTATTAGATATAGAGTATATAGTATTATCAAAAGAATTTTATCATTTATGTTTAGTAGAAAATTATCTGATTAGTATTCAAATTGAGGATTCCATCTATTTAGTGTTATTGTTATTATGTCTTTATGTATTAATATTTTGTTTTTTCAAAGGCAAAATGTGTTATTAATTCAAAATAATATTTGATTAACCTTTGGTAACATTAGCAAAAGAAACATTTAGATTTACTGCATCTTTCAATTTTTAATTAGAGCTTTATAATTAGAATATTGTACTAGTACAGGTTTTATATATTTTAGTCAGCAAGGTTTTTCCTTCATTTTAAACAATCATTAACTTTGTAATACGAAGATAAACAAATTGCATAAAGTTTTATATTTGATTAACTCAAATTATATGTTTTCTATTGATAATAAGATTTTGTTACTGAGTGATACTTTGCAGTCATCTGCTAAGGTAAAGTAGAAAAACACATGTTAGAGATTATGTTAGTTTAAATAAGCTTTAGAAATAATTCAAACAAGTGTATTAACTATTCTTTTTATATCAATAAGTTGTTTTCTAATAGTAAATCTCAGAAGTCTAGTAAGTTTTGCAGAATATTTAAATCATTCAAGGATATCTGCATGAAATAAATCATACAAGTAGACTCTAACCATATCATTAAGAATAAAAAAGCTGTAACATTCTTTTAATCCTTTAAAATTCATATCTTTCATAAAGTAATAATAACTTATTGCTACATATTTTTTGTTTTTATATTAGTTAATTATAATCAAAAAAAATTTTTTTTTGTTTTGAATATTGTTATTTTTTATTTTTTTATTTTACGTAAAATTTATATGTTATTTTAAATTTCTTAATAATTCTGTATATATCAATTTTCTAAAAAATTATAAAAAAATAAATCATTATAAAACATACAAAATTATGATACGGAATCATTAATTACATATACAAACCCTATAAAAAACATATCATTTCCTTATTTTGATTTTTTATTAATCGGTGAAAATAATTGCAATCATTCTTTCTTACCAGAAAAGAAAAAAATATGTTAGATTGAAAAAAAAACTTTCAAGACGATGAATCCAAGTGTATTTATTCATTTTTTAGAGCAACATAACTATTTTTTAAATAAAAAAATATATATATCTTGAGGATTTTCTGTTAAGATCAAAAAACCAACTTGTAATTTTATATCTTATTAATTCAATTACATTAAAGATCATATCAGATATATTTGAATTTTGTCATTAAGTCTCATACTAATTCTTAATGAATTTGGATTTTTTATAATTGATGGAGAAACTAATTGTGATCCAATTAGGCAAAATCCTATTAAATCAAAAAAATTCAAATTAATAAATTAATTACTTTTGAAAAACACCATTGACCAGACCCAACCAAGATTTTTTCCTAGATAAAAAAGAACATTATTGTTTTGAATTTTAAAAATGTAAATACCCTTCTAAAAAACACCTTACCATTTTCTAGCAGAAACATCATTTCCTACAGTATATCCCAAAACATATTGTAAAGCATCTTCTCTATAAACATTTTTAAGATTTTGACAATTATTACAGCTAATTCAGCTTCAAAATCAGCTTGATTATTAGTAGCTATAGTAGGTACTTTAATCTTATCAAAAGGATTCTGTAAACTAGTTGATGGTTTTATAAAT